TGGCCCCCCCAAAATGTCCACATCCTAATGCCTGGAACCTGTGAATGTTACAAAAGAGATTTGCAAATGTGATTAAGTTAAGGATCTTGAGATGGGGAGATTATCCTGGATTATCTGGGTGGGCCCTAAATGTAATCATAAGGATCCTTATAAGAGGGAGGCAAGAAGATCAAAGGAGGAAGTAGGTGTGATGACCGAAGCAAGAAATTAGAGGTCGTGAGCCAAGGAGTGCAGGAGCTGAAGAAGACAAGGGAACGGATTCTCCCTCAGAGCCTCCAGAAGGAACCAGCCCTGCTGATACCTTGACTTTAGTCCAGTGAAGCTGATTTTGGATTTCTGACCTCCAGATCTGTAAGAGAACAAATTTGTGTTGTTTTAAGCAGAGTTTGTGGCAATTTGTTACAGCAGTGACAGAAAGCTAATACAGTTGCATACAGTCCCTTAGGTATAAGGGAAGAGTTAGGACTCAATATAGGTTTGGATTTGCTTATTGGCCAGTTAAGGGTGGAGCTGAAAGACACACAAACCTGTCCTACAGAAGTAAACTGGGGGTGGAGTACATAAAAGGGATTTAAGCAATACTCTAGCAGACTCCAAGACATAGAAGACACAGCAGCAGGAGATACAAGTGGAACGTCCAATTCCAACAGCAGGTCCTGTGGTGAGTTTGCACAGAGAGGGGGCACGGAATGTTGATGGCAAGCTGAGCTATAAATATTTTTAGGTATTTGGCTTCTAGTTTGCTAAAACCTAAATTAATAATAGACAAGAGAATTTCCACCAAAGTTTTGGTTTGGGTGTTTTTTGATGTGGGTTACTGGAAGAAGGATAGATATGATGGAGGAAAATGCCTGCTGGTAGACACCCCTAAGTGATAGATGCTGAATTCTAGGAGGACAGATGAGACTGGAGATAGGCTCCAAGATTGGGAAATTCATCAACAGGGAGGCTGGTGAGAGAAAGCATGGGCGACCCCACTGGATTGGGGCTGGATACGGCTGACTATTCTGCAAGTAAGTTATTTAATGTGACAGTTTACTTATGCTTCACTTATAAGGACATAACTAAAAGTCAGAAAGGAAGTACAATTTTTTGAGAAGTCAAAAAGGATGTTTCAGGGGTTGCCGACGTTGGTTTTAGTACAGCCTCTGGGCTCTCAGTTCAGCTCTATCCATTCTTCTTGTGCATGTAATTCTATGAAGTGTAGTCATCTGATTTCTGGCCAAACAGATAAAAAAACAGCAAAAAGAAGCCAGGAGATGAGGGCAGGCAAACAGATAACCCTGAGGCAACAGCTTGCAGCCTATGTTAGCAATGCTAAACACAAAAAATGAACACAAACACACTGGTACCTCTGGGAGCCCCTGCCGCCCAGCCCTGCTCCAGGATCTCCCACTCTCCCTACAATCCACCAACTGAAGGGTTAACTCCTGGCAGAGCAGGGGGCTTCTGGACCCCTCTACAGCACCAAGTCTCTCTTCTGTTCCGATTGGTCATGCCCTGGCCTCACGGATGTTAATAATTTGAATATCACCCCTGAACATAGGTGTACATTGCTTTAATAATTGAGTAAGCTAGCTAACTTTTCCCCCTCAATATCTGATGTAAGAAATCCAAAAATATAACAGGGGTTGTTTCATGTAAGGAGAATAGTCATGTATAGTTATAGGCCCAATGGGCATCAATATATTATGTGCAGGATAATAACTCATTTTCATATTAGTGGGCCTCAGTCATTAAAAAAAGGTTAATTATATTCAGCTTAATCTATTTAAGAAAACAGGCAAAAGTGTGATACATTTTAGAAGTTTTAATCCAAAATGGACTAAATGTCTTGGTACTTTTGTAGAATTGAGGCTTTAACCATCTAGAAAACTCATTTGTTTGGAATGACGCATTCTTCAGGATTCTAGAGCTGGAACTCCTGAATGAACACAACAATGGCCTGTCTGTATTACATACAGCCAAAATGTGCATATTCTTGTGTAGTCAGATTCATTCTTCTATGCCAGTCCTGTGCAAACCTGAGCATTGGCTCACTGGGCTGAGGGTGCCTTCACGTCACCTGGGCCCATTACCCCTCCCTGCTCACCTGGGCTAATGGTGGCTCTATGCTCACCTGGGCTGATGGTGCCTCCATGCTCACCTGGGCCCATCACCCCTCCCTGCTCACCTGGGCTGATGGTGCCTCCATGCTCACCTG